TTTATACTATATATAATCATTTCTTGAATAGAATTCTATAAAAATTAATAAATAATGTTCATGAAAAATTTGTATCATATATGTGATGTATGAACAATTTTATTTTTGTTTCAATTCAATTTTCAATTTTCAATATTTAATTTTTTTTTATATATAAATTAAATTTATATAAAATAATATAGTAAATAGATAATAGCCAAATATAATGACTAATATTACTTAATTTAATTAATTTTAAATTCTGAAGAAATAATTTTATATGTATTAAATATGATTTTATATCGATGTCATGAAATATAAAATAATAATAATAATATAAAATGTCACGAAACTTCCAGGCAATTAAATTAATTTATATTCAGGATTTGGCGATGCAGTAAATTGTGATGACACTTGGAAAGCATGTTCAGCCTATATCGACGAACAATTTCGACAATATTTCACAGACGAAAGTGGATTAAATAGAAAGAATATTCAAGACAATCGAGTACATTGTTGCTTATACTTTATACCTCCTTATGGTCACGGGTATGTTCAAACATCTCTTCAACGCTTAATTATATGTATATGTTGCATTTACTTCTTTGTTATTTTTTTCTCATTCTCAGACTTAGACAAATTGATCTGGAAGTATTGAAACGATTACATCGTAAAGTAAATGTTGTCCCTGTAATTGCAAAGGCGGACACATTGACTACTTACGAAGTAAAAAAATTAAAAGAACGAATTCTTACTGACATCGAAGAACACGAAATTCAGGTAATATATTTTTCTCAATTCTTTTTTTTTATCAAATTTTTTTTATCAAATTATTAAGTTTTTCGAATTTTTTGCCTTAAAATATTTATTAAAATAATGTTGTTGCCATTTGTTTTCTCAATTCTTAATATATCATAATAAAGTAATTAATTTTCTTTATGGAATCTTTAAACAATTTCATGATTTCTTTATTTTTATTTGTATTATAACATTTGTATATATAACATTTATATTACATAAATTTTTTGTCATATAAATATTTTTATTAAATTTTATTAAATTATATAGAAAATGAATTAATAGAAATTAATTATTCTATTCTAAATTATATACAAAATATTAATAATATTTATAAATAAAATCGCCAGTTTTATCTTTTAACTGTTACAATTTCTATTTTAATAAATATTATAATCTCATCGATATATATATATATATATAAAATAAAGATAATAAAAATAATAAAAACATATTTGAAAAAAATTAAATTAAGTTATATATTTGTATAATTTTTCGCGAAATTAATATTAAATAATATAAATTTAACATTTATAAAAAAGAAAAATAAAATAAAATACAAAAATATAATATCCAAAAATTATACAGAATTTTTTAATGATATTTAATCTTTTTGTACAAATTATTGTAATTAATCATTTTCTACATTTGTCTTTTATATATTATATAAACTAATAATGAAATATATAGAAAAATTGCTGAGAATGTATTTCTAATATTTATCAAATAACATCAAAAACATATATATCGGCATTCTTTGATATTGGAAAGAATTTCATGTCGATAAGACTTAAAAGTGCTAAAGACTTGAAAGTGCTAATTAATTGGTTGATATATTATATTTTATATTTTACTATTTAATATATATTATATTTTACTATTTAACAAGAATTCTACTTAATTAGAAGCTTTTGTTAATTATATATAATTGTTAATTATATATCTATCGACTACAAATATTTATTGCTACAAATATCTTTTTAAATAATATTGCTGAATGAAATAAATATATTATAAAAAATATTACTGAATGAAATAAATATTATAAAAAATATTACTGAATGAAATAAATAATTATCTTCCTGAAACGAATATACATTTCGATAATTTATAAAAATTTGTATTTTAGATATAAAATATTTTAAAATATTTATTGAGATCAATATTTTTGAGAGATTAGTATTTATTTTAAAATTAATTTATTTTAAAATTAATATGAAACATTATTTCAATATTATAATTTAAAATCAAAAATGGTAATTCATCAATTAAAGAATTATAACATAAAAAGAGAAATATAACATAAGGAAAATGATATAATTAAAGATATAATATCTGGAGAATAAACTGCTTAAAAATAAATTATTTTATTAATTTAAACAAAAAGATATTTTCGATCATTCTATTATAAATAACTTTAAAATTTTCTTTCCAATAAATATGTCCATCTCTTTTTTTTTAATATAATATATTATATTATATTATATTAATAAAATAACTAATTTTTGAAAAGAAAAGTAGCATGAGAAATGTAAATTCAGTGTAACCATCATTTAAAAACGATCTACAAAATTTATTTAATATTTATTATTATATATTTTAATATTAATTTATTTGATCTAATATTTAATAAATATAATCTAAAAAAAATAAAGATTAAAAATAAAACAATAAAATATGATATTTTTTCATACAGATATATCAATTTCCGGATTGTGATAGCGATGAAGATGAAGAATTTAAGCAACAAGACAAAGAGCTTAAAGCATGCATCCCGTTTGCTGTAGTCGGTAGTTCAACAGTGCTCGAAGTCGCGGGAAAGAAGGTTCGTGGTCGTCAATATCCTTGGGGAGTAGTAGAAGGTAACTAAATTTCATATTTTCAAACGACAAAAAACAATCTTAAAGTATGTATCTATATATATATATGAAGTCAACGAAGTTTTAAAACTAATTCTTTTTTCAAAAAATACTGGTTATTATCTAATTATTATTATCTAATTATCTATTATTATTAAATTATCTAATTATTATTTATTGGTATAATAATATTGTTTGAATTTATGAAAAATTTCATCTATTTGATTATATATATTCGACTATAGATATCCAAAAATTTAAAGAATGATGATTCAAACCAAAATAAAACGAAAATTATTTTACGATTTGAGTTGTTTAAATTATTCTATTCTTTGTGAAATTTGTTTGCAAATATTATTAGGAATATTTGATTTTATTTAATTTTAATTATCAATAACTAAAAAACATTAAAATAATTTATTTTTTTATTTTTGATTATTTTCTTATTTTAAATTTTTATAGAATCTTTAACCTGTGCAACCTAACCTTACTTAACCTAATCTATATATGGTAATAACGGATTCTGTCACACGAAAATACGAATAAGAAATATTGTCATAGTTTTTATTGTTATGATTGTCAAGCATCGAGCTTGATGAAAAATGAAAAATGAAAAATGAAAAATGAAAAATGAAAAATGAAAAATGAAATATCGTTTTACGAAATGTCATTTTAATTCAAAAACATCTATATCAATATATCAATATAAATGAATTGAATAAAATTTCTGATAACTGATTTTTACACAAAAATTCAGAAATTTTATGACTGATTTAGAATTTAATACATTCAAATCTAAGAAGCAATAATACTTTTTTCTTGAGAATTTAATTTAATTTTTGATAATTCTAAAACTTCGTAGACACAACTTCAATAAAATTGTTTGAATTCCAATTAACATTTGAATTTTAATGGAGTGCAGTGGAAAACCCGAAGCACAGTGATTTCGTGAAATTAAGGACAATGCTGATATCTACACACATGCAAGATCTGAAAGACGTCACGCAAGATGTACATTATGAGAATTTCCGGGCACAATGCATTTCACAAATTTCACAGCAAGCTATTCGGGAACGGAGGTATTTACGCATGTAAATAAGTATTGCATTTCAGTAGGTATATCTTCTCTCTAGATGTATATCCATCTATATTTTCTAATACTTATTTAAAATACTCGTGGTATCTTTGAATAGATAGATATTTGATACTTATTTGGATAAATCAATTCGTCGATCGCCTTGAAATATATACGTATTCTTTTTTTAATGTTTTGTGAGCAAATATTTTGAAAAATATAAAAGATATAAAAAAATATTTTAAATGAGAATTATAGAGAATAATATTAATATAATATAAATTATACGAAAAAGGATAATTCATGCTGTTATTTAATTGATCTTACAATGTCTCTGAACAAACTTGCAAATCAAATTTCAACATAATTAAAATCTATATATTATTATTATCATTGATATTAAAATTCTTTTCGAAAAATTAATTAAACGAATTAATTAATTAATTAATTTTTTAAACATAAGCCATTAATATATCATAAAATTAAAATATATACATATATATTTCAAG